CCCCCCACCCCAATTCCATATGTAGGGGAATGCCATCCAGTTGGGGTCATGTAGATCTGACAGGTCATGTGAAGTAGGGACTAGGGCTTCTCTCCTGTCTCTAGATTAAGGCAGTTATCCCTCCATGGGGGATATGTTCGCAAAGTCCTTTTGTGCACCAGGGATACATCCTGGCTCCACTGTCTGAGGTACGGGGACCATTCTTTTGAAATCCTTTCACAGCAATTCTCTTTCTTTGGAGTCAGTTGTAGGAGAGTGAACACGGTTCTGTGGCGGTGTCATATTTCTTTGGTTTTTCTTGTCTCCCCGTGTTCACACGTCTTCTCATTTTACAGAGACGTTCTCATAGGGAGAGAGCTCTCAGGATGACCGTGAGTTAGGATGCTCTTGCGTGGGACACGGGGGGGGGGGTTGTAGTTGCAGTTAGGCAGTCCACACTTCGTTTCGCAGCTTCGCTGATCCCCTCAAAGCTTGTGAATTCTCCAGTGGCCTCTTCCGAAGTCTGTGCTGCTGCCCCAATGGGTGGGTCCTCTCCTTTCCGAGGTGGAGTTGCACAAGGAAATGCAGGAGCTATTCCCTACCGGGTCAAGTGTGACCTTTGGCGTGGAGCCTGGTCAGGGGCTGGCTACTCTCCAGTGATTGTTGTGCGCTGCCCTCTACATTGGCGCAGAGTTGGTACAGTCTCAAGAGCATACAGGAATCAGCTAGATTTTGGGTCGAATATAATTCCCGGGCAGTAGGGTGCTATACGGGCATTGGTAAGAAGGTCAGGCTATCTTAAATCCCTACTCTTCTTGGGCTCTAATCATGACAGTGTGTGTGTTATTTATGTGGCACAGTGTAGTGGTGGTATGTCCCTTCTTTTTAATTATGTTGAGTTGTTTAGTCTGTGAAAGGAATCTAAACTACCCGTGGAGTTCACTACTGTTGATAGACACGTTTTGCATGTTCTGCTTTTACGAGGTAGTGTTGTACTTCCTAAACTGGAAACTGGAGAGTGGCTGGCTAGACCTTCAGAAATGGGAAGAGGAGGGAAACAATGCTTATGTGTGCAGAACGTCTTCAGGAATGAGTTAGTGCTGAGAAGATATTTCAGGTCATGGAAGCTCTGTCCCACCTTAAGTCTTTGCGACTATAATTCTGTGCACCTGGGACACTCCCCAGGCTGAGGAATAGGAGTGATGTGGATATGGGATTGTTCAGGTCTTTCAAAGCGTGGCAGTTTGGGGTTGTTTACTCCTGCAGCCAAAATGAGCCTTTACTGGCTGGTAATATTCAAGAAAACAACACAATGCGTTATATACATCTGAAGCGCTTTACAAGCTGGCCCCCTTTTAAAGTTTTAATGACATTTCACGCGCAGCATGCTGAAGCAGCTAGGCATATGCTGTGGGGTAGATGCTATGGGTTTGATTCTGCTGAGTCCTAAGTATGCCACCTCAGGCAGTCTCTTCAACGCTCTGGAGCCAGTTTCCATTAAATGCATACAGTAATACTCACATCATAAGGTCATTATAAAAATTAAATAAACGAGTGTTTGCCAAGTGCTTGGATGAATGTACAGTGCATCTCCCAAATTTATCATCTAGCATTATGTTTGGAAAATATATAAATAAATATTACATGTAGCGCTTAGAGCAGGGCTCAACACAAAATGACCTCTGCATGAATGAATACTCATAATTACTAATACTTAGAATAAGAAAATATTGAGTAATAATATTGATGAAGAACTTGCCACAGGGAAATCTAACAGGACACGGGACAAGTGAATGGGAAAAATTGAGTCTTTTCCTTCTGACTTGATTAACCAAAGCAGAGGCCATGGTGGGGGTGATTTTTTCTCCGGGGAGATGTCTGGAATTTTCATAGCCTACCCTCCATTTCTGATCAGACAAGAAGCAGAGAGCAAAGGGGAATGGAAAAGGCAAACCAGGCATCTCTGTCGTTTATCTGTATGAGCCAGAGTTGAAGGGAAGGGGGGAGGGTGCCTGCAATGCATTGGAACACTCTACTCCTCCCCATGCAAGACACACACAGCCCCGAGGCTCCTCACACAGTGCTGAGCAAGGATGCTCGCTGAGCATCTCTGGAAAGATTGGCCCTACGGTTTATGAGAATAGTTTTATTTATGAAAATTATCTGAGGTACTAAGAGTAACCGCTTCTAAAATCTCATTTTTGTGTGTGGGGTGGAGGTTGATCCTGGGACCCTGAATTGCCAACACGTTCCTCTGGAGACTCTTCACCTGGTTTCCACTGGAGAGTCCCGTCCAAGTGCAGGCTCTGCAAATGAAATACGGTTTTCATCTGGAGGCAGCATGTCTAAATCGCAGGTTCCAGTGATCTAGCAGAGGAAACTACCCAGCAGTCAACGGCTCGCTTTTTAGTCACTACTGCTTCCAGTTGTGATCCCAGCACTCAGGAGGCAGAGGCAGGTGGATCTTAGTGAGTTCGAGGCCAGCCTGGTCTACAAAGAGAGTTTCAGGACAGCCAGAGCTGTTACACAGAGAAACTCTGTCTTAAAAACAAAACAAAACAACAACAAACAAAAATAAAACAAAACCAAACAAACAAAAAACCCACAAATAAACAAACCAGAATAAAACAAAACAACCAATATCAAAGCAAAGGAAAAAGTATGAAACACATACACCCACCCACTATAAAAAACACAAAATCCGAAGCCAGATACATTCCCAGGCAAAGCATTATGAGACAAGGAAACCTCCAAAAATACCATTGAATTCCTTTTGTATTGACCATAGATTGTTGGGCATGAGCCTGCCCTTCAGTACATTCAGTTTGACTCTGTTAGAGAAACTAATTTTCCCTTTGTGAGCACTTGTCAGTTGGTGGGAGCTTCTCGGTTAGAGAAGGGACTTCGTGCCCTCCTTTTCCTCTCAGTGCTGAGACCCCATATGGCTTGGATCTGCGCAACCCTGCACACACCCCAGTCTCTCTGATTTCGTGGGTTGACCCTGATGACTTAGAGGGCCTTGCTTTCCCCATGCCCTCTGCTTCTTACACGCTTCCCACCTCTTTTCCTATAGGAGCCACAAGGGGAGGGATCGATGGGGATGTCTGAGTGTCCCAAGGCCTCTTACTCTCTGCGCACTGTCCCGTTGTGGGTCTCTGTACATGTTTCCATCTGCTCCTCTTAGGATGGCTGAGTGAGACACTGAGACATGGATAAAACAGAGTGTCATTAGGAGTCATTTATTTGCTTTAGCTGAACACTGGTATTTGATTTTCCTCTAGGTCCATGTAAGACAACACACACACACACACACACACACACACACACACACACACACACACACGCGCGCGCACCAGTGAAGGGATTAAAATGGTAAAGTACATATTATTAATTCATTCTTTTTCCTAAAAGTGAATTAGAGATGGTTTTATCTCCTATAAGTATACTCATTACACACAATAATTTTATGAAGCGATAACCACTTACAAGATGTTGTATAGGTTTCCTCTTTTTCTCCTCCTTCTTCTCACAGAACCCAAGGAAGAATCTCAATAAATCAGTTCTGGTGGGAACAATTCATTTTGCCCAGTGGATCCCATGGTTTTACAATACAGAAAAAAAAATCAATGTATATCCACACAACATTGTTTTTGTACAGTGCTCACTGTACTGAGCTGGGTTTGAACTCTGAAGCACATGATTGTAGTCTGGTACCATAAGACCCAGCTATATCCAGCAACTTTGTTACTTTTTCTTTTAATGAATACAGATTTTTATTCACACAGGAGTGCTTATATCGGTACAAATTTATCATCTTGAGCTCAAATTCGGTATGAATCCCTCATCACAAGGACCGATTGCACACGGCACATTGGGAAGCATAAGGGAGCTCCCTGGTTCTGAAATATAACTCGCATGTTTTAACTGGGTCATGGCACTCAGGCTTGGTTTACTGGTAGCCATTGAGAACTTAATGTGGCAACATGACTCTGCAGTGGGCACCGTTCCACTCACTGCCAGCACTACACCACGACAAGATAGTTTGGCAGTGTTTAAGATGATTTACAAGTGAGGATTGTATGTTCTCCATAAAAAAAATAATAAAATATGTGTTAACAAGAAAGATGCTCATAAAGGACACAGATGAAAACGACTGGTAGATTTTCCTGAGCAATCTCATTATGGATGGAGTGCCCTTACAGCTTTTATGAAAAGATCTGTTCATTTTTAATTAAAAATGCATATATGTGTACAATGTATCTCTCCCTATAGCTCCTCAGCCCTCCTACCAATGGGTTTCTCTCCTCACCGTCATGTAATTTAAAAAAAAATATTGTTCACATGATTTTTATAGTAACGCTCTCAAAAATTAAAAAAATATTGAGATGAATTTACATAAAATAAAACAAGTTGTTTTAAAGCCAGAAATTCAGTGGTATCTAATATATTCACAGCATTCTGCAGCCACTACTTTTATCTTGTGCTAAATGATGTTCTCTACCACCTAGCAAAACAAAGCAAAACCAAAGCCCTCTGTTTGTAAGTACCAGTGTTTGGAATGATACAGGAAGTGGATTTCATGAGGTTTATAGTGTTTCTGTCTACTTGTCTACTGTCTTAGAATTATGTTTACCGAAGAGTCAAAGATCTCTGACAATGGTTCTGTCTTGGTTTGAGTGTTTGTGTTCTTGCCAAAGCTTTTTGCCAAGTAATGTCAACCGGGAGGAGTTTATACGCAGAAGATTTAGGGCCTCACATGATGCAATCAGGATAGTAGTTAAACGGTGGGACCCTGATGAAAAGAACTCAGTGGTGTGTCAAGGATGGTCACTGGCTTTGAAGATAGCACACATTCCTTTGTAAACAGAAAAGCCAACAAAAATGTGGCCAAAGAGTCTGTGGGTTTCTTGATGCACATTTTATTAGAAAAATAATAGGTTTATTTATGCAAATCTGGGGGGAGGCGTGCAGTGACTGGTGTGTCATATCCAGCAACTCAAGGTATAAAAGGTCGGGTGTGGGAGAGAGGCTGCATTCACACTTCGGTAACTTGTTTTTCACAGTCTATCCAAATCCCTCTCCTCATCTGCCATCATGACTCGTTATTTCTGCTGCGGAAACTACTTCCCAGGGTATCCTTGCCATGGAACCAACTTCCACGGGACCTACAGAGCCACTCCCCTCAACTGTGTCGTGCCTCTGGGTTCTCCCCTGAACCACGGCTGTGGCACCATCTACAGTTCCCGCAACTACTGTTATGGTGGCGTTAGTAACTTCAACAATCCCGGCTGTTGCTATGGCAGCAGCTTCTACAGGCCATGGGGCTCCGGCTCTGGCTTTGGCTACAGCACCTATTGATGGACCAATGGCTCTGATGACTACAGGACCCTCAACCAGTTACCTTCGCTAGGAACAACCTGAGAAACAATGCGTGCCATCCAGCCTCCCCTGTGCTTGGAAGATGCAGACAGCTTACAGAGGGATGGCTCTTTGGTGATGCGGAAGAGGAGGCCGGTGACCAGCTGAAACTCATCTCCAGCTAAGGAAAGCAAGACACGGCTTTGTAACAAGAGACTGCAATCTAGCAGTGCAGGAGGTCTCTTACCTCTCAGGTTGTTCTGCTCATAAATTCAACTGCATCAGCATAAACGTATTTCTAATTGGACTGTGTGCCCAGGGCCTCACTGTTAGTCTCTCAATAAATCTGTCTCATTCAGCATGCATACTTTTGTTCTGGCCTTTTTATTTTTTCTACTGTGTTTTGTATGTTTTTGAATTCACCAACCCTTTCGATCTCTGATGGCTGATTTTTAACTGCAGCTTATGGGTGGGTATGACTGATGCTCACATTCCTCCTCCAGTAAGTGTGCGTAGTACATTCCAGGACTATGAAAGCTAGCCAGTAGTGGTGAAGCTTCCAGGTCAGCCCTAGCTGGATTTCTCCATGTAATGTTTGTGGGTGCATAGCTCCTCACTGGCTAAGAACTCCAAAGGAAGCAACCCACCAGTACAAAAAGTGCTATGAACATCAAGGGAGTAAAAGCTATTTTCTCAATGGATGCAAGTTCCACTCCATGAGATGAAACTCTTACCTGGCACTGTTATTGGGCCAAAATCTTGGAGGAGAGGAATCCACTACAATTTTACTAACTGGATTTAGTATTAAACCAAGTCCTAATGATATTGTTATACCCACAGATCAATACATGTCTCAACACTCGTCAGGGAAGCTGCTACTTGCAGTAGATTGGTGTTTATTACAAAGACCCACAGCTGGTCAATGCTTAGCCTGAATGGAACCCATACCCTCAATACCCTCTGACCGAGGCTCAGGGACCATTGTGGAAAAGGGCTCAGAATGACTGCAAGAGCCAGAGGTAGGAGGTGATGATAAGGACACAGTGTCTTCCTGACCTAGCGGAATAGCTGCACATATGAACCCACAGTGGTTGTGACAGCATGTACAAGACCTGCTCAACCCCAAGCCAGAGAAAACCTCAACATGTTCATGGGATTCAGGTTTAAAATCCCACTCAAGCTGTAAGGACAGTGACGACTGTTAGCTTCTGGGAGAGGGAGAGAATGTTTAAGAGTGTCACACTAGAAGAAGATGACGACACATCCAAGAATATTTGGGAATCTCTAACTGGTGTTGTAGGACACAAAACAAAACAAAAACTAAAACAGAACTGAAAATACAGGAAATCAAAAAATTGGGTGCGTAAGGAAAGGGGAGTTGGGGGTGGAGGATGGATATGATTAAAATACGTGGTATGCAACTTGCAAAGAGCTAGCAAAAATAAATGTAAAAGAGAGAGGGAAATGTCCCAGACTTAATCCAAACATACTGCGGTTGTTATCTCTGTGTTATGAACATAGAAAAATACATTGCATACTAAAAAAGTAAAAACAAGATGTTTCTGTTAATTATTCTAATGGTTCAGTCATGATTCATTATTCTCGTAGTATCGGTAATCTTTGCTTTTGTGAGACCTGAATACCACAGACTGGTGGGTCAATCACAATTAAATGGATTGAGTTAAGAAACTCTGTGTTTAGGGACCCCTATCAATAAAGCAAAGTCAATTGCTGAAATCATATAGTGTATTTTCTATTTTTCAACAGATGTGTTTTGTGTTCTTCAACTTCTTCACCTTTGACCATGCATATATCTAGTAATGAAAGTGAAGCGTTTACTCTCGAGTTTTAGTTACCATAAAGAGTTCCCAGTGTTCAGCTAGATTTTCTGTTTCACTACCCTGTCTCTGTCTCTGATCTAATCCTAGCATTTTCTTTCAGTATTGTCTCAGAATTTGAAGGCATCATTTGCCTGGACTTTGGGTTCTCTCTCTCTGTCTCCCCCACTTTGTGTCTTTTAAAATATTTAATATAATTGATGTGTGTGTGTGTGTGTGTGTGTGTGTGTGTGTGTGTGTGTGTGCGCCTGGGGCTGACAACTTGGTACTGGGTAACTGATTATTCTCCCTAGAGAAACTGGTTCTCTTTCTTTCTTGCAGCCGTCATTAACTGCCTATAGTAGCTTCTTCATCGAGGACTGGAACCTTGTGAGATGTCCCCAATCTATACTGGAGTATGAACTGGTGTTGTCGTGACACAGGTCCTGCTTGGGTGACCATACTGTTGATATTTTATGGGTGTGGCTTCTCTGTAACATATAGGAGACACTACCTTGTAGCAGACACTCTGTTTCTTTGGCTCTTAAGATCTTTCTGATGTTCCCGGAGACTTAGGCGTAGCAATTGGACACAGCACAGTCCATTATTCTCTGCATTTTAACCAGTTGTGAATTTCTTTAGTAGTTCATCTGATATCTTAGTTCATGTTCCACATTTTTCAATTTTTCTCTTTATAGCATCTGTGTCCTAATACACTCACTCTAGAAGTCTTCCATCCCAACATAGTCTCTTTTTAGTTTCTCTGGTTTCTTTGTTTACTCCGGGTTATATACTTAAATCTAAAGATTCAGAGATAAGATCCAGAAATAAGAGAGAACACATGACATTTGTCTTTTGTTTTTTTGCATCTGGGCTAACTCAGTATATTGTCTAGTTCCGTAGTGTTCCTCCCAAAGCCTTGGACTATTTAATAAAACCCCAGTGCCAGACATCAGAACCCTTTCTGTGTGTTAATGGCTAGGAGACCCCACAAGATTCCAAAATCAATATAGGCATTGCCCTTGACTCCTCCCGGGACTGAAAGTCAAGTCCCCAGGTACTGAAGATCCTGTGCACTTGAGAAACAGGACTTGGGGGTGATGAAGCCGGGACTGACCTAGGGCCGTCCTCCCTGAGGTTGAGCACTCATGGAGCAGGAAGCTGCGGTGCCAGCCAGCGTCGAGGGACAGGAGCTGTGCTGCTCTTTCTTCTTTGCTATCCCCTTCCTCCCCACCACGCAGACATGTACTCTCCCCAGCCAACGGAAATCGTCACTGCGATTCTTTCTAGTGAACAACAGTACCATGCATTATACAGTGTGCTTTGTAGCTTAGAAACCGTGTGGATAGAATGTTAGTTGAATCTGAAAATTATCTTGGTTTCGTCTGAAGAAATTGCTGGAGATTAATTTGTCCCAATGGGTGAATAGGTAGCAAATGGGAAAACAAATCTTGCTGAAATCTTCTGGTGCCCCACATGCTCACTCTTGTGTCATTAATTAGGAAAGGAAAAAAAAAACTTACTTAATGTACTTGCCAATTGGCTCCTATCTGACACTATCAGGATTTTTTGTTTTTTCAGGATGGTCACATGCTTGAAAAATGATATTCATTTTAAATTAATTAATTAATTTTACATCCTCTCCTCCCATCCCCTCCCCCCACCTCTCCTTTGGCCCCTCAATCCACTGCTCCTTACATTCACTCAGAAAGGGGCAATTTAAATAATTTCAGCGCCAACTCCTCCTCATTGTGTCTGAGAAGTACGGTCAGATCTTTCTTCCTAATATTCTTCCTTCCATTCCCACGTCATCATCTCTTGTGTAGATCCTTGCCAAAACTGTAAAGCTACTCTACGTGGCAGTCCTTGATCCCTTTCCCATAGATACATATAATAAGCTGAATACATAAATAAGATTACGTAGCTAGTTTTCGTAAGTTGTTTGTGATTTTTTAAGTTTTCCTTATAGTTTTAAGGAAAAAGAGCAACCACAGGCACACAAAAAACCTACTCTTTTCCCTAGGCCAAGTTCCGTATCCACTACCCTGAAATGTTTCATAATTCTTTGTTCTATTATACCCTCTTCTGGAAAATTCCTACAGAGCCTTCAGAAGGCCTTACTCAGCATCTAGTAACTTCCCTTGTTCCTGTTTGGAAGGTAGAGCTCAGTTTACTAATATTGTTCCCATTGCATCGAAAGCAGTCTTCCAGCCACAGGAATATGCTTTTTCTCAGATGAAGTTGGATGTGTTAACTTGTTGCTACAGCGGGAGACCACAGGACATAAGAAACTGCAGGGTGTCTCGATGGGAAGGTGTCTGCAGGGGGTTGTTATAGAGTTTGGACTTGGATTAGGTGGCCTGGAGGGTGTTAAATGTGGTAGGGAACCGTCTGAATTAAAATATAATTAGTTTTACATCTGTCTTCTAACTACTACAAATTTAGCAGCTTAAGACGATACAGGTTCAATTTCTCACAGCTGTAGATGTTGAAAATGGTTCTTCTTAGGCTCAAGAGATCAAGTCATTGAAAACTTATCATTTTTGAGTTCCAAGAAGATAGCTGATTGCTTAATTTTCTATAGGGCATCCAACATACTCCTCCTTGTATACCTCCACTGTTCTTCAACGAGCTGTAAAAATCACTGCAAATCACTCACAAAGATTCTTGTTACTCCATCTGGGCCAACCTAGATAAAGTACAATAACCTCCCCATCTCCAGGCCAGCCATTGCCAACCGTATTTTCTCCTGTGTGATAAGCATATTTGTAGGTAGCAGGAATTAGAGTCCTTGCTCCTTTGAGAGACCATTACTCTCCCTGCCTCAGGCACAATGAGGAATTGAGCTCGGGCCCATAATCGATTGTGTTAATAATTTTTATTTAAGAGATATAAAAGCGCTCGAAGCATAGTGGTGTAGTCTTCACCGTGTCTGATGTAATGTTCTGGTTTTCTTTGTTTTTGCAGGCAGGATCATAAAATGGTCCGGGCAAGCTTTGTGTTACTGCCCCACGGTTTCCTACTGACCTCATCTGATCTGCAGTTCTAAGTGTTGCTTATGGGAAGAAGGGGATTATCCTTGTCTCCGGGTGACCTTGTCTCATTTGCATTCTGAAGCTTAAGGGAATGGAAATTAGGACTCTCAGTGATTAGCAGTCTTGAAGGTTGTGCGTGGGAAGAAAGGAACGGATGCTCTGCTTGCCCCCCCCCCCCAGTGATGCAGGGCTCTTAGTGACTTTCCCCTCTCCTAAGTGCCTTCCTTAACTGACAACTGACTTTCTCTATC